TTGTTACCTGGCATTCTAGTTGAAGTATGAGCTGAGGATGTTGTCTAGAGATAGTAAGAGAATGAAAGCTTCGCAAATAAAAATATCCCGCTAAAAGAACACACAACTACACCGATATCATCATCATCCACCTGAGCTACAAATCTTCTCCATCACAAAGTTTTTTCTGCTCCGTTGTTGTATCATTGTATCACTGGATTCTATCAGTCAAACGTTTTGAAGTGTAATATAATCAAACTAGGTGACTCAATTACCTCTATGCACTTCAAACTATTATTACTATTATTAGTCGGTTGGTGTAAGCCTTGGAAACAGGTGGTAAAAGGCAGATGATAAGCGAAACAATCTCCGAGAAAAATGGCACCATAATTAGCTCCCAGGATAGACGTCTGGAGCGCTGGAAAGAACACTATGAAGAGCAGTTTAATTGGCCCACAGCCACACTTAACCTGCCGGACATCCAACACCTCCCTGAATGGGAGATAGACACAGGTCCTCCGTCCTTAACTGAGGTTACTAAAGCTGTCACCAATCTGAAGCTAGGCAAAGGAGCGGGACCTGATTTATTGACTCCAGAGGTATTTAAGTACGGAGGAGACAGTTTACTGTCTGCGCTAACGGAGGTTCTAGGCAGCGTCTGGGAATCAGAGGAAGTCCCATCGGGTTGGTGTAAGTCACTGATCATCCCGATATACAAGAAGGGGGACAAGTCGTCTTGTGATAATCACAGAGGGATTAGCTTGACTAATATAGTATCTAAAATCCTAGGCTCAATAATACTGCGTAGACTAAGTGGTGCTCGGGAGACACAAACACGAGAAAACCAGGCAGGTTTTAGGCCAGGTAGAGGGTGTATTGATCACATCTTCACCCTTCGACAGATTCTAGAACATAGGCATTCCTACCGGCGTCCGACAATCATTATATTTCTTGACCTAAAGGCGGCATTCGATTCTGTCGACCGGGAGGTTCTCTGGCGATGCTTGGATGTAAAGGGAATGCCAAGAAAATACATCGCACTGATTAAGGCACTCTACTCATACTCATGCAGCCAGGTGAGGGCTTATGGCGAGTTGTCATCTGAATTGGTGACGACTAGTGGCGTCCGTCAAGGATGCCCATTATCCCCATTCCTATTCAATTTCATCATAGACGTACTAATGGATTTAACCCTATCACACTTCAGCGACTCAGGGATTGACTTGCTACCAGGGAATAATCTCGTTGACTTAGAATATGCGGACGATATAGTCCTTCTAGGCGAGGACTCTGACAAAATGCAGAGTCTACTGAACACCCTGAGCAACAATCTCCGTATGTTTGGCATGCGATTCGCCCCTGTAAAATGTAAGATGATGCTGCAGGATTGGACCTCATCGACCCCTAGATTAGAAATAGGAAGTGAAGTGGTAGAACACGTTGACCGCTTCACTTACTTGAGAAGTACCATCAGCCCCAACGGGTTGATCTCCGACGAAATTTCAGCACGAATACAGAGGGCTAGGTTCGCATTCGCCAGTTTTCGCCGTCTCTGGCGTAGACGCGATGTCCGACTATCGACCAAAGGGCGTGTGTACTGCTCAACAGTCCGCTCCGTCCTCCTTTATGGCTGTGAGACCTGGCCATTGAGAGCAGAAGACATGAAAAGATTAGCTGTCTTCGATCATAGGTGTCTGCGTTCTATCTCCCGCGCGAAGTGGTACAATAAGGTGAGCAATATTGAGGTTAGGCGTCGAGTGCTAGGTAAGGCGGGGAAATCAATCGACGAAACGGTGAAATTACTTCGACTGAGATGGTTAGGACATGTGCTGCGTATGCCTAGTCATCGCCTTCCTCGACGGGCAATGTTAGCTGATATAGGGCCAGGCTGGAAAGGAGCTAGCGGCGGTCAAACGAAAACATGGCACCAGTCAATGAAATCTACAACAGTTAGTCTAAGTCAGCCACCTAGGAAGGTGTAGACTTCCTGACTGGTTGGGGTCCTCGGATGGTGAAAACCAATGGTTGGAAACAATTGGTGACATGGCTTAAAATCGTTCTCAGTGGCGCAGATGCATCCACTCCTTGTGACTTATGATTTCCAATTAAACTGTTTTGTTCTCCGTTATTACTATTCCTTTGTCTCACACCTCTGTTTACTGTCTATATTATGCATTTCTTCTACTTCCTTCTCTTGCTTTGTGTGCTACATGAAGGGAGTGTGTCGACTTGAACTGCCGCACATATGTGCAAAGTTCTATGTCGAAAACCGACCGACCGGTGTAAGCCTTCACAGCATAGATTCCGTGCCTAGTGGTAGTCGATATCAGTCCCTTCGAACTTGTAGATATGCTTTGCTAGCAAGTAGTATGTAATCAACATGAGACTTTAATCTATCTAAGTCGGGATACACCTCGATTTTTTCTCACCATCGAATAACAATGAGTCGTATAGTGTGTATGTCATTCTTCTTTGTTCAAAAAATAACCATGAAGGAAACGGTGTACTTGGCACATATATAAGTAGAGTGTATGTAAATTTCAGTACGAGAGTATAGTTTGGAGACAATGGTGTTAGATTGTAATTTGATACCACTAGATTAGTTTATTCACTTTATATTGCACACAATGAATAATAATATTTACTGAATGATATTGTGCTACAAGTATTGTTCAGTTAAAACAAAAAAGAAGAAAATACTCATTGAGACATCTATAAAACACAAAATACTTGAGCAAAGAATATTCTTTTCGATAATCTCCTCTTCTGGTTATACAATTATATATATTTTCTATAGTTTGCTTTGTAAGGGTTAGTTTTGTTTTTACGAGTTGATCACGGATTGATATCAGTTAGAGAACCATTGAAAACCAGCATTGGAGTACTGGACAGCTGTTTCATCCTAGTTCGGTAATCATCGGCAGTACTCACCCGCTGGGGTTCGATGATTCCCAAACTAGGATGAAACAGCTGCCCAGTACTCCCTGGTTTTCAATGGTTCTCTAACTGATATCAATCCGTGATCAACTCGTAAATATATATATATATATATATATATATATATATAGAATATTCTAGAATAGTAGTCAATAACATTATTAGTTTTTTAAATAATATCGATTTGTAAAGTAAGATCAATGGAATTACCACAGTTCATTAAAGATGCTTAAATAATAATAATAATAATAATGATAATAAAGATATAATAGCAAATAGAATATCAAATAAAAATACAGAAATTTCCACAAAAAATTGAGGATCATTCAAACCTGGATGGCCAAGGTAAGGACAATGTCTGAACTAGCTTCTTTTGGACGCATTAATTAGGTTTATTAATATTGATCCCAACAGCATCGGTAATATTTAGTAAAAGAAATCTTATGGCGAAGTTAAGATTTGTTGGTATGCGATAAATGACCTTGAAAGCCATCTCTGTATCCGCAAGATGAGATAGAATAGCTCTACGAATAGATTTTGTTTGTCCTTTACTTAACCACACAGCGTGATGTTCGGAAATCCGATGAGAAACACTCCTAATTGTATGGCCTATGGAACTGGCTCCACAGGAGCAGTCAAATTGGTAGATACACATGGAAGAGGCGAAATTAGGCAGTTTATCTTTTACAAATCGATATTTTGATTGGACACTAGTAACTAGTGTGATGTGTCTAGTCCTTTTTTTGGTGCAGGCTGAATTCTATCAGTCAGGTTTTGCAATGTGGTCACCATTCTAGGTGGCTCGCCATCACGGTGCACATCGATTTGATGATATTAGATAGTCGGAGGCAATCGGCAGGAATCGAATCTCAGAAGGGACATGAGTTCCTTCAAGGCTGCAGATACGCCTTTTCGACCAGTTAGTGCCAACTAGCACGAAACCTAGGTCGAACAAGGCTTCCTGCCGATTGCCTCCAACCATATAATATCATCAAATCAATGTGCACCGTGATGGCGAGCTACCTATAACGGTGACCACATTGCAAACCTGACTGATAGAATTCAGTCTGCACCAAAGAAAGGGCGAGATTCGTGACACTAGTTACTAGTGTCCAATCTAAGTATCCACTACAGTTCCACAGGAGGTCAATCGCGAGTCTTGCTGACTAGTGAGTGCCAACTAGCACAAAACCTAGGTGCAAGGCTTCATGTGGCCGATTGCCTCCAACTGCCTAATATCAACAAATCGATATTAATGACAACAAAACATGTAGATCAGCGAAGAGTCTCTTTTTGGGCGAATTCATTTTCTTAGCTGTACAATCGCAAATATATGTACAGATAGGAAAATGAATTCGCCGAAAAGAGACTCTTCGCTGATCTACCCGTTTTGTTGTCATTAATGCCTAGATGAAGATTATACATGAAAATCGATATTAATCAAAATACACTAGTATTGTTATTGACTACTAATCTAGAATATTCTATGTATATAAACATGTATATAAATGTGGAGTCAGAAGAGGAATTTATCGAAAAGAATATTCTTTGCTCAATTATTTTGTGTTTTATAAAAAAGTAGAAACTACAATTTTTATAGCATTTTGTACCATATCAAATTACATAATGCTGTATAATAAAGTTAACCGTGTTATTTTGTTTCGTTTCCTCTTCATATTAAGAATTGGTTAGCGGGTTGAACACGAGTTGAAATCAGTCAGAGGATCATTGGAAAGCCTAAGAGTATTGAACAGCTGTTTCGTCCAAGTTTGCGACTCTCACTCAGCAGTACTCACCCTCACCCACCAGGGTTCGAACCCAGGACCTTCCGTTTGTAGGGTGAGCTCGTAGACCATTCAACCACTAAGATCCTGTTGCATGGTCAGTGAATTCCAAATTCTGCTGATTTTCGATGTATGTAGTGCAACTGCCAACCAATGTCGTAGGTGAACAACTGATCTCTTACCTGACGACTTGGTGGATAGTGCTGGACCACGGCTTCTCACTAGGACTCCTCTTCATCTATTCAATCCCTTTTTTAATCAATTTACTGTTTAATTCATTTTCGATGTGTGTGTATGTGAATGTATCTAAGTGTGTTTGTCTTTTTGTTTTTCTTTTCATAAATAGATGAACGTGTAGGCAATTTACTCTTCATTACACAAGATCCTGTAGTTACTTCACGTGTAAAATCTCAAATGAAGTCAATTATTCGTCAAACTTGGTCTAATCCACCACAACATGGTGCACGAATTGTTGCTACAATATTAAATAATCCTTCACTATTCACTGAATGGTAAGTTGATTTATTTATTTATTCATTTATTTCTATTAAACATGTACTAACTACCCAATAACTCGAGATGTTTTTCTTCTCACAAACTCTACATAATATATATCTCGTTAAATAGTATTATTTTTTTTATCAAATATGCTAAATTCTAACTATTGCATACATCAGAAAAGAAGAAGTGATTTGCAATCTCCTGCACAATGTGGGTTACAACACCTGGTGGTGCTCACTGCTTGGAGACATGAACCGCCTGCTACTTTGGTTTGTTGGTGGTTCAATGGTAGAATTCTCCCAAGCCATGCACCATCGTCTGACGTTCGATTCCCGGTTGATGCATCCCTAAACCCTGCCTCACTTACCATCTGGTAGTAAACCGGGAAACGAGAGAAGTTTTGGTTTAAAAATTAGCAATTAAACACCGTAAAACACCAACACACTACCGTTACTAAAACGTCAAAGCTTAATGCCCTATGTTCTACTCGGGATGCAAACAGATTTTGATGTGAATAGGTTTAACCACAGAGTTATCAAGAATTCGAATGGTGTAGGCTCACTTATTATCATTATTATTGTTTCCTTCAATTCCTAGAGGAACATAGAGCTTCAGCCGTGTGTCTCCATTGCGTTCAGTTCTCTGCTAGAGTCTTCACCTGGCTCCAGGTCTGCCCACACGTTTTCATCTCCTCTTCACATAACCTCCTCCAAGTCACCCTTGCACTGACGACCAACTCGTCGATTCCCTTTCGGCTTCCACTCGAGGGCCTGTCTTGTGATGTCACTTGATGGTTTGTTTTCTCAGAGTATGGCCAATCCACCTCCATTTCTTCCTGCATATTCATAGCGCAATCGGCTCCTGGTTGGTTCACTCTCACAGATCCTTGTTGCTGGTCTTTCCTGGCTGACCATCTGATCTTGAGTACTGAGTGGTGACAGTTGTTGATGAAGGTCTGTAGTTTGTTCGAAGCACTCTTCATGACGCACCAAGTCTCTGATCCGTATAGTAGCACTGACTCCACATTGGAGTTGAAAATCCAGATCTTATTTTTGATGCTGAGTGCTGTTGACCTCCACACAGACTTGAGAGAAATGAAGGCTTGCCTTGCTTTCCCGATCCTCCTTGCTTTGATATCCTCGTCAGCTCCGTCTGCCTGTAGTTGAAACGATGCTTCCCAGATAGGTAGGTAGGTGGGTGAAGGAGGTTGTTTCTTTCATGTTCCTCCCATTTATTGGTCATTTTTTTCTTGCGTTTTCGAATACGATTATTAAGAGACGCCTTGGAACTTGTCTTATATATTTCTACAGCAATAACCTATGGAGATTTAGGCAAAGTGACTGCACAGCTCATACACAGCCGATTGCATGTGGCTAATTTATTCTCAGTGACTTCTTGGACATTATTTTATCATTGAAAAAACTGCTTACTTATCATACTGGTAGAAAAGATAGGTGAAGAAAGCAACTTCAACATGTTTACCATTGGTTCTTATTATAAGCTGTGTCTGATGGCTTTGTGAATCTCAGAGTTGTGTAATATTTTGTGCCTCAACCAGGCAGTCATGATGTGCCAACTCATGCCCACTATATACTCCCCCTAATTTCACGTCGTGATAACACAGGTTAATCACTTCGCCAACTAGTTATTGGACTAGCGGATAATGAACAGTATGTAAACCGTTAGGACAACATTCACAGTATATATATCCGAGACATTCTGTAGCTGCTGTCAAAAGGCGTAATAATTTTTTGTGATAAATAGTCTCTATTATGTTTAAACACTTGTTGTCGAACCTTGGAGTTACTTTTTACTGTAACACACCAGCAGCGGATGCAGGCTGTTCTCATATATAGACAAGACAGCAATAATGACTGAACACATCCTCAGCTCGGAGTGGCTAGTTTTTACAGACACTGACAGAGTAAGACTGCATTCACTGGAGGCTCTATAAATCTGACCTTTATAGACCAAATTAAAAGCATAATAGCACTTCAAATTGAAAAGTCCTGAGCCACACAATAGTAGGACAGCTGTCTTCTGTGTCCAGTAGAAACGAAGCAGCTAATTTATTAGATAGACAACTGTCAATTAGAACTTTGTAGAGGAATACAATACTAATTACTGTCGTACTACATACACTTCATTCAAAAAAAAGATTAGTAAAAGTTAAGTGAAAATAAAAGTGATATAGTCTTTTTTTTAAGGCATTTAATTTTCCCAAAGGAGTTTTGAAAAAATACTTTGACATATTACTATTCATAATAAAAGGTTATACCACTTCAGATGTCGAACAGTCTCTTCTTCTTCTGCTCCTTCCGGCTTTTTTCAACAATTCCGACCAGATAAGTAACACTATTCGGACTGAAAGTTTTAATGAATTTAAATGTCGGTGTTAATATTCTATGTTAACACTAACTGTACATTATCTTCCCTGACTAGGGTTAGCTAATTCACCGAGCTAATCGAATTCTGCTTTGTTCATACTCACCTTAGATTATTATTATTATTGTTCACTTGGGTTCCTAGTGGAACATAGGGCTTCAACTGCACGCCTCCACTTGCTTCTGTCTTCTGCTGTACTTTTCACCTGCATCCATGTTAGTCCATAGTGTTCCAGCTCCTCTTCACACGATCTCCACCATGTCACATTTGGACGTCCTACTCGCCGCTTCCCTTTCGGGTTCCACTCGAGCTATGGCCTGACGCGCGATTTCACCCAGCGGCCTCCTCAGTGAGTGTCCAATCCATCTCCACTTTCTCCTGCATATTTGTTGGGTGATTGGTTCCTGTTTTGTTTGTTCCCATAGTTTCTTGTTGGTGATTCTTTCCGGCCATTTGATCTTCAGTGTAGAGCGAAGACAGTTGTTGATAAAGGTCTGCAACCTGTTGGAAATATTCTTTGTAACCCACCAAGTTTCTGATCCGTATAGCAAAACTGACTGACTTGACGTTTGTATTGAAAATCCGAATTTTGTTGTTGATGCAGGCTGAGTGACGAAGATTTCCAGATTGGTTTCAGGTTGATGAATGTGTTTCTCGCCTTCCCGATTCTCGATTTGACATCCTCGTCCGTTCCACCTACCTGTAGTTGAGACAATGCTCTCTGGATAAGTGAAAGAAGTAACCTCTTTCAAATCCCTTCCGTTGATGGTGATGGGCGCTGGATGTTGCTGTTGCTGTTGTTGTTGTTGGTTGGTTATTTTCATAACCTCCGTCTTGTCTATGTTCACCTGGAGTCCTGCCTTTGCTGCTTCTTCGACCAGTTTGTCAGTTTTCGCTTGTAAGTCTTCGATTTTGTGTGACATCAAACATAAGTCATCCGCGAAATCCAGGTCTTCTAGGTTCTTCACGTCGGTCAGGACAGGATATTCCTGTCTTTTCGTTTCCCACTGTCTGACGCATAATCCAGTCCAGTCCACCACAATTAGGAATATCATTGGTGATAATAAGCACCCTTGTCTGTCTCCTGTATTTACTTCAAACGCCTCGCTGAGTTTTCCGTTGTGGATCACTTGACATGTGCCGTTGTTGTACAGCTGTTGAATAAGGTTTATGAATATTTAGGGTACGCCGTAGTACTCGAGTAGTTTCCAAATTACTTCGCGGTCAACGCCGCACTGTCGAAGGCCTTCTCAAAGTCTATAAAGTTGAGGTAGATTAGGAAACTTTTATCATGATAAAAAAAGGCCAAGCCAGAAATAAATTGGTTGACGATATAACGCATATTACTCTAAACAGTTCAGATATATGAGATTTATGAATCAACTAAAATGTGGACTTATTCATTCTAAAAGTGTTTTTTATTTGAACACAGCCTAGCAACAAAACACACAGCTTATACTTTCAACCCAATAAATTTCATATGTTAACTTCAAAAAAGAATAAGAAGCAATATACCGCTAGAAAATTATGATTAAAAGAATGTCATGGGTGCGCGTTCATACAATGATGTGAAGTCAAACATTGAAAGTATATTTCCTGCATATTTATTTCATCAATAAACAAATTTCTTGATGATCACATTTCTAACTGTCACATGAATTATGATTATCGTTTTATCGTGTTTTCATCATTGTTACACACCAAATGTTTAGTGCCTTAATATCTATTTTGTTATATATATATATATGCGTCGGTATTTCAGTGGTACGAATGATTGTCAGCTAAGATGCTAGAGGTCCAGGATCGATTCCCAACCGATGCACTTCTAAACCTTGCTTTGCCAGCAGTAGTCAGCCCACTAGAAATAGGGAAATTCGGGTATTAAACTAGTATCATCCCCTCCCCCCCTCGGGGCCTGAAGGCAACATCCACTGCCACTTGGATTTCAAAGCTCAAACTTGAACTCCTATATTCCACTTGGAACTCATAGGAATGATATTCCTAATTGTTGTGGATTGGATTATGCGAGAAGACAGGATTGCGTTGGACGACGGATAAGAAGACTCTAGAAAATTTGGGTTTCGCGGATGGTTTACGTCTAATGTTATTCAAAGTCAAAGAACTACAGCCGAAAGTCCAACAGGTTAGCAGAAGAAACAGCGAAGACAGGACTCCAGGTGAATATAGCTAAGATGGAGGTAATGAAGATAACCAATCAACCAACCAATAACAAGAACAACAACAAGCATCAGTCAGTCAATATCAGCGAATTAAATTCGAAAGAGGTCACTCCCTCCACTTATTTAGGCAACACCGTTTCAACTACAGGCCGGCGGCGACACTGAAGGAAGTTGTCAAAGCCAGGAAGGCAAGGCAGACGTTCATCACTCTGGAATTCTTCTGCATTCAACCAGTATAAGGAACAAGATTTGGATTTTGAACACCAATGCTGGGTCGGTTAGTTCTTCTATATGGTTCAAGAACTTGGTGCATTCGTCTCGAAAAGCATTTCCAGCAGACTACTACAGACTTTTATCAACAGCTGCCTCGGCTGTTTCTATACTGAAGAATAGATGTTCAGTCAGAAGGAACTATTAACAAGAAACTCTGGGAACGAATCGACGAA